GGATCTCTCTTTCACTGATGGACTTTGGATTGTTTTGAGGAACCTGCTAATGTGATCAGAACCAATATGAAAATTGTTGTTTATATTTCCTGTTTTTGAGTACTAGAATTGCTTTTGAGTATATACTAAGAAGTGGAGTGGCACTAGTACCAGCACTGCAGAGGAGTGCCTGTGATTCACTTTCCCATGGGACTTGTTATTCTTGAACTTTGAAATATTTGCCAATAAAATAGAATAAATTAGTATCAAAGTTTTTGCTTGATTAGCACTTCCCTGCTCACTAATGACACAGCATAATTCACATGATTGTGATTTTTATTTGTTCATATTGTATATATTTTTAATTGTTAAAAATTGCATTTATGGTGTATAACATGATATGCTAATATACACATGGATTATGAAATGATTAGTATAAGCAAGATAATTTACATATCCATGACCTCCCATTATTTTTTGTATATTTTGTAAGAACATTTTGACCTACTATATTAACAAATTTCAAGCATAGTATACATTACATAGTATTATGAACTATAGTTACCATATTGTACAATTAACTTATTCATTCATCCTACCCATTAATTATGTCTTTATTCATCCTGTAAAATTGAAACTTTGAACCCTTTGACCAACAACCCTTGCTTGCCGCACACACCAACTCTTGGGAACCACCACTTGATTCTCTGCATCCTTGACTTCTACATTTAAAAAACTATTTATAAGGGAGATTGTGGAGTATTTTTTTTTGTGTGCTCGACATATTTCATTTTACATAATGTCCTACAGCCTTAACTGTGTTATTGTAAGTGACAAGATTTGTTTCTTTTTTTAAGGATATGTAATATTCCTGTGTGTATGTGTGTGTGACATTTTCTTTATACTTGGATTGTATGACTGGACTGGTTTAGAATGCCTTTGAGATACTGAGTTCATTTCTTTTGGATACATACCCTGAGTAAAATTGCTGGATCATATGGTAGTTTTTTTTGAGAAAATTCTGTACTGTTTTTCATAATGGCTGTACTGAATTATATTCCAATCAACAATGTTAAAGGGTTCTTTTTTTTTTTTTGGTACTGGGGATTGAACTCGGGTCCTTGTGCTTGAACAGCAGACTACGAAACCATTGAGCTAAATTCCTGGCCCTAAAGGGTTCCATTTTATCCACACCCTTGTCAAGATTTCTTATATTGTATCTTCTTTATAATAACCATACTAACAGGAATATAGCATTGTGCTTTTGATTCACACTTTCTTGATGATTAATGATACTGAAAATTTTTTCATATAGCTGTCGGTTATTTATATGTCTTCTTTTTAGAAATATCTTAAGTACTTGTGCAGTTTAATCAGATTATTTTCTTATGATTAAGTTTGAGTTCTTTAAAAATTTTTAATGTTTTTCGTGGTACCATTGCATATATTTTTTAGCATTTTGTATGTGTAGAAACTGAACACAGTAAAATCAACACTTTACCCAATATCACATCATTAATATGAGATCTTAGACTAGCACTTCTTGTCTTTCTAGTGATTTTTTCACTCAGCATACTCTCCACTATTTAAGATACTAGCCACTATATGCATTTAAAAGAGGAATGTGAACACACTTGGAAGAATTGGATGTGGGGCTTTTTCAAGGGTAACTGTGGCAAGATTTAATATGAAGCATAAGCAAGCATGTTCTTTTTTTTTCATCTTAATCTTCCATTTAGAGTTTTACTAAAAATGAGTTCATTAGACTCCATATGTCCTTTAAAGTTTATAGAATAGAACAAATTAAAAAACGAAGTTGTAAATTTTGGTGCACTTGATCCCACAACAATGAACAATTTCAAAAGAAAGATATCTTTAGCAAGAAAAAGAACATCATAAACATGATGAGATTTCAAAATGCCTGTGGCTCAGAAGTGCTAAATTAAAATATTTGGAATGAAGAGACTGTAAAAGAAAGAAAATATATTAATCAGTGGATTAATCTTTAACTTTTAAAGGTTTCGTATAAAATACTATAATGTGGAAGTTAATATAGTGAAGATTTTGGGGTGTGATTTTCTTGGTCTTCTGACAATGTAGTGGTTATTATGCATATTTCTCTCAGGAGCTTTTAGTCTAGATCCTAGCTTTGGAGTTCTACATTATTTAAAACACTACTTTTCCTGATATTCAGGAAAATAGAACATTTCAGATGTCAGGTCTGGCATCTTTTATTTATATCATAATAAAAATCTCTAAAGTGGGACATTTTAGAAAAATAAATCCTTTTAGATTCCATGGCTTTTAGCTAGTTGGCTCAGGAAAGAGGATGTGTGTGTTTTCCAAATGGTACAGTTTTCTCAAGAATGGAAATGAAACAGATGTTTTCCCACCACCACATACTGCTGCTTTGATAATATTCTCTGTTGCACCAGATGGTGGAAAAAAGTTACTTTTCTACTGCTCTCTTGGTTCAGCAGTTATTTATGGGCCAATGAGATCCATTTATCTACCTTTATTACAGCTTTTCATCTGTATAGACAATAAATACAAATCGCATGATCCTTGTAAGTCAATATAATTTACACAACTGATGAGCTGAAGTGTATGGGAGTATTTATTAGACTTTTTGTTCACCTGGCACTTTATTACTTTCTCTAAAAAGCAGAGGAATGCAGAAGCTACATTGTAAGCAAACTCAGGTCTGTGCCTTGATAATCACACTTGAATAAACAGCAAGAGATACATGCTGAAGGCATCAAACTCAATATATTAAATCATCCATATGAGGCACTATTTTCGCTTTACTTTTGCTCAACTCTTTTTGGATATGTTATTACAATGACATTTGTTTATAATTTATTGGTTTTGAACTTGTACATCTATTTATGATAGTCTACAGTAATAATAACAATGGTGATAATGTATATGTGTGTTTATTTCTTGTGTATTTCTGTTGACTTTTGCTGCTCCACAATGTCCTTTAATTCGTCTTTATATTATCCTGCTCTTTGTCAACCTTTGAGCAGCAGCCACCTGATTCCATGGATTTGAAAATGCATGGAACAATGTGTCTAGGGATCAGTTCATTTGTGAATAGCTTTTAAATTCCTGGTAATACAGCTAGCCCTGAGAGAAGTGCTTTTTCTGGACAAGCAGATCTGCTGAGTCAGACTTCAAAGAAGAAGCTAACAGTAAAATGTTTATTTTGTGAAATTGTCTATTTGAATTTCTTGCCCCTTTATTGTCCCCACACTAATTTAAAGCTAAGAGTAATTTGAGAGAAGGGAAACATTGTGTTTTTTTCATATATTACAATAGAATTTAATACATCAGATCCTTATACTTTAGAAAGAGTGCTTCTCACATAAGGTGTAAATGAATGACAGATCACTTTAAAATCCAGACTTTTGTTTTCTAAAGTCATTGGTGGAGCTACAGCCTTTCCATTTATAACCAAAACCAGGTGTTGTATGTCTTGGACCACTGTCGAGTAATAAGATTTTAGAATTCACTATGTGTCTCTACATAATTCAACTCATTAGGTAATTGAAAAATTTTGTGATGAAGAAAGCTGCAGCTTTTATGACTTGCCTCAAATTATACTATGAAAGAAAATTTGGAACAGCTCTCTGATTCAGATTAACTGATACTATACTCAAAACTCAGTTTTAAAAATTTCTAAAAGTTAATAAAGTTACCTCTACATTTGATAATTATAGCCTTACTATCTAGCCAAAATGATTTATTTGGTCTTAATAAGTTGTAGACAGTTTAAAATAAATGACTTCCCATCAAAAATAATATGACAAGAATGACGCTGTGTAAAGAAAATATTTGCCTGGGGGTGAGTGTCTCTGTCATAGCAATAACACTAGACTTCACATGGGAAATTTCAGGGCACTCAACTTCTTTCTCTCCTTATAGCAATGAATTAAATCCGTTCACCAGAGGAGAGAAAAACAAAATTGTGTGACTTACAATGACTTCCTCTCTCAAATGTATCATTTAGTCATTCGAATTATTTCAACAGTGCCAGTATTATTACCTGTAAGTAGTTAATCTCATTCTAAACACAACTATGGTACAATTTGAAATCACTCAAATTCACTGGAGCAGTAGAATTCCTGGTACTTTGTCATTCAGATTATAAAAGAAAAATATTATTGTACCTTGTACAAATATAAAAACTCTTGCTAATTTCTTTTCCTATGAAGGGAGCCTGAAATACAAACGATACAGAATAAATTTGATTTTTGTAGGAAAGTTTGAGTCTTTATCTTTTGTTCCAGAAGCAAAATAGGACACCAGGTTGAAAAAAATCAAAGAATGACTTTCTACAAAGTCATGGATAAAGTCAAAGAAAAGAAAATGATAATATTGACTTTAATGACTAAAGTATACATTTATTCCATCCTCCACTTCTTTGAAATATGATCACTTGTTTCTGTGATATCCATATTGGGATTGAATCCAGGCTCAGCTACCTACTAGCTATTTAATGTTCGTTACTTTATGTAACCTTTCACAGCAGAGGACCTAATTACATCTACTCATCAACAGAGCTATGCATATAAAATAAAATGGTGTCAATAAAGTACTCAATTTTTTTTACTTAACACTTAATAGATGTTCAATAAGTGATAAAAAGTCATTAAGCTTCAGATTGACTATATGTATGGTTGATCTACTTATGCTCTTATATGTGTTTCCATTTAGAGGATAGTTTCTGAATTGGAAAAACTCTTTTGTATTTTGACATATTTCACCTACAATAAATTGCTGGAATTGCAATGTGTTAAGGGAATAAAGAAGAAATGTTTCACCAGTAGCAAATTATTCTATAATCTAAATTGGGTCTAGACAAATATATGGAAGTACATAAAGCAATGAAAACTTTAAATGCCAAGAAAGCTAAGAATCTCGAAACTGTCAGTATAGACAATTTTGTCTTACTTTTGACAAATATTGAGATGCTATTAAAAGCTGTCATAAATAGTCATAAAAAGTTTGGTTTCACCCGTAATCCGCCGCCATGGCCAAGGAAGGCATTGCTGCTGAAGGTGTAATGGACGTCAACACGGCTTTACAAGAGGTGCTGAAGACTGCCCTCATCCACGACGGCCTAGCGTGTGGAATTCGCGAAGCTGCCAAAGCCTTAGACAAGTGCCAAGCCTATCTTTGTGTGCTTGCATCCAACCGTGATGAGCCTATGTACGTAAAGTTAGTGGAGGCCCTTTGTACTGAGCACCAAATCAACCTAATTAAGGTTGATGACAACAAGAAACTAGGGGAATGGGTAGGCCTCTGTAAAATTGACCGAGAGGGAAAATCCCGAAAAGTGGTTGGTTGCAGTTGTGTGGTGGTTAAGGACTATGGCAAAGAATCTCGGGCCAAGGATGTCATTGAAGAATACTTCAAATGCAAGAAATGAATGAATAAAAATTTTGGCTCACTTCAAAAAAAATAAAATTTCTAGAACTTTTTGTTTTTGAGCTCATCTTCCTTGAAACCATGTTTGCATTTTTTACTTCTTATATTTAAGGTCAGCTAATTTGAACTTCTTAACAACACAAAAGATCATAGGTTGAGAAACAAACCAAAAACGAACCAAACCAAACAAAAACAAGCAACAACACTAGGGCACATCACAAAACAAGGGCATGGTTCTCACACTATGTGTTAAGCGGGGTCAGTTGAAGGATCTGATCTATGCTGCCCTCACTCTTGGACATGTGCTGAATTTTCTGGAAAATTCTGATTGCCTGAGGCATACTCTGATATTCAAAGCTTTTATTGGAAGTGACATTTTACTCTTTTTCCAGTTTATTAGCCAGACTCAGCCTTAGACTCTCTCTGAAAGAAAGGTGAAGTGGATGGTTGAGTGCAACCTTGGCACGTACCCAACAGTAGAGAACTAAATATTTGTGAAAGCCCAAATAATTTCCACAGTACTATTTGTTAATTCCACTTCTGAGAAACATCTCTTCTCTCCATTTGTAATATTGTATTGTGCTGATTGCTTTTCTATAAGCTCCTTTCTGCTAGTTCTTTTTCTTCCTCTTGTATAAGTTGACAGTATTAAAGATTGTGCCCTTGGTTGTTATGTGGGTTTTCTCATTTTGTCTTATAATTTTAGCCACCTATAAAACCTTGTTTATAAAAAAAATCTGTTGAATTATGATATCAAATTTTTTTATCTTTCACAAGTTCCACACCGACAGTTTTTGGAAGAAATATCCACCTGGATGATTCATTACACTTAATTTTCTTATCTTCCAGCAATCAAGTAATCCAGGAATTTTATAGATCCACTTTCTTCCTATTTACTTTTTTTTTTTCTTTCCCAGTATGGGGCATCAAACTCATGACCTTTTGCTTGCCAGGCAGGCACAGTGCAGCTGACCTACATCCTGGCCCTCAATTTACTTCTTATTGCACCTCTTTTTGCACTGTTTTACAACTGATCCCTTCTTCTGTAATTTATCTGTTCAAGCAATTTTTCATTTCAATCAGTTCACTTTTTTCTTTTTCTTTGTTGCTACTTGTTAGGGAAAACAAACAAACCAAAATGTAACATTTTATCACTCCAATTGTTTGGTTTTTTTTCTACTTTCACATTAGGAATTTTGGAAACACCATTAAAATATATTTAACTACACAGAATTATGTCACAGCCAATTCAACATCAACAAACAGCTCTTACTGTTCTCTAATAAGACTTAATTCTGTATTTACTATGCTTAAATGTTTTTCATTCTAATTTTTCAGAACAAATTCAAACTTCATGAGTTTCTCCCATTCTTTACTATTTTTACCGTTACTGTTAGGAGATAATTTAGTACCTTCCTTAACAGAAAAATCTAGGATATAGGAATGAATTTAATTTGAAGGAATTAAATCCTTCAATTTCCAAGCCCCTAGCTTTACTATCTATCTGCATATTTTCTTATCTCCTACTCTGATATCATAGGGAAATAGATGTTCGTATTCTGGTCAAGTAACTCCTTCACTTATGCTGTATATTCTACTTTCTCCACTGTTTTTAGTGACCCTTTCTAAACTTCATCTCTTCTCTTAGTTGTATTTTCAAATTCAGTCTTTCTTACCATTTTTTTAGACAATGTAAAGATACATATACTTATGTACTCATCATAATATTAAAAGTAAACCAGTCATTTCTTTTTTTTTTTTTGAAATTTAAAGAACAAATTTATTGAATCTGAAAAACAATTCTTAAAAGATAGATTTTTCCAGAAAACTGTAGGTACACAATGCATTGCGTCTATCATGTTAAAACGTGCATTAGACATAAATACAAAAACCATGAAACAATTCACCATTCTTCAACAATTTGAGCAAAGAGGAAATGCCTAAGGAACAACATGAATGACTTGCAAAGGATGGGCTCTTTAAGCACTGTTAAAAAAAATGGCACAGATGGATGAGTGTATTCAGTTACATATACTGAATTGGACCTTTGGCACTAGGAATCGGAGCATTTTGTCATACAGCATTAGCAGGTATTATAAAAGTGTATGGTGTCAAAGTAATAGAACCACCAGCATTCAAGAGCAGCTTTGTCAACTAGGCAATAAAACACTACACCATGTCTCTTTTTTGTCCATCATTGAATACACTGCTAGCAACTTTGAAATGAAAAGAAAAAAGGAGCTGCAACCCCTTTTATTTTCTCTGTTTAAAATCAAAACAAACATCAACTCTGTTATACACTAACATCTTCAAAGTACATCATTTGTACAAGAGAAGGACAAGGAACAAAACATGTTGACAGAGATCCAAACACGGGTGAGAGCACCTCACACTGCTTTCTGATGGTACTCAGGAGGGGCCACTTCATAATCACTGGCACTAAACAAAGTTGCTGAATTCTTCGCCTGATTCTTGAGGAAATCATGAAGATAATTTAGTAATAAAGCAAAGCTCTTCTCATCCAGAGGTGTGTAGGCCAACATTGCTCCAATTCGTACAAATAATCTCAGTAGATGTGGCTCTCTGTACAACTGGGACATGCGCGCATAGGGTGATCAGCAAGGACCTCAGTGTACTGTGGTCTCTCAGATTTGTAGAGCATCTGAATGCCCAGCATCACATTGAAGTATTCTTTTATCTCTCCTGCAACCTCATTACCGGTCATTTCTTCAGTCTTCCATTTCCTTCTATTTTACACTTTCTTTTTAGTTTTAGCTTTCAAATATAGACATTTGGAAATAATCTACACTAAATTTTGCTAATCTCACCTTCACTTTTCTTTGTTACCATAGAATTATTATTGTCACAGTTCTGCTGCTAAATCATTACTTTGAGGAACTTGTCTCACTGATTATTTGAAAATAATGTATATAGTAGCATTCTTCACATTCTCTCTTCTTTTGATTTTCCTTCTGTCAGTCTTCTTTTTTGGTACTGGGGATTGAACTCGCAACCTTGGGCTTACAAAGCAGGCGGTGGAACCTTTGAGCTAAATCCCCAGCCTCTTCTTTTGGTCTTTTTAAATACTATTTCAAAACATTTTTGCCTGCTCGTTTCTTGGGTAATATTTCTGGCTTAAGTTTTGGTCCTTGGCTTCATTTCTATTCATTATAAAGAGAACTATTACTTATGCATGTAGTACTTTCATCCTCTCTTTACCAAAGCTACAATCCATCAATAACTCTTGAATCCTCCATTTTTATTTATTTATTTATTTTGGTACCAGGGATCGAACTCGGGTCCTTGCGCTTGCACAGCAGGTGGTGAAACCACTGAGCTAAATCCCCAGCCCAATCCTCCATTTTTAAACAAATTCTCCATCTTCTCATCTTTTTATTACTCCAACCTCCTCAATTCTTTGCTATCTTCAATTACTTTTTTAAAATCTTCAGTGACACTAGAAAATAGAGTTTCTGAAATTTCCTTTGGCTCCTCCTGAAATGGCTTGCTCCTTTACATTACTACAAATGTTATCTTTCTAAATTTCAAATTTCTTTGATTCATGACAATGCAAGATAAAAAGCTTTTGTCTATATCTTTCCAGCTTCATTTCTAGTCAATCTGTTTTTACACTTTATCTTGTGGTTCTATTAAATTACATGCATATTTCCTCTAATTCAGTGGTTCTCAACCATTAGCTATTGTATATGCTTCTTACCCATGGAGGACATGGATAATATTTAGAACCATCCTTTGTCACAACTTAGAACAAAGTACTGCTCACCACATTGAATAAGGGCTGGAGATGCTGAAACACATCCTAAAATGAAGAGCATAGCTTCTCATAATAAAAAAATCTTCTAATCCAAAATATCAATAGAATCTAAACTGAGAAACTTTACCCTAATTGAACATGATAATTCTCTCTGTGCCTTTATGACATGCCATGCTCTCTAAGAAAATTTGCCCATTGACCTGAGTGTAACTAATATTCTTCCTTACAAATGATACTGGGTCGGGAGCAAAGCTACATAGCTTTAGGGAAAAATCATTTGATTAGGCCTAGTTCTCCCGCCGACTGGCCAGCTATGTCATTTCGAGACATAATTCCATTTTGGCCTCGGGTCACAACTGAGACCTCAATGATCTGGTGATGCTGTGATTCTCCAGGACCAGATTACACCAGCTGAAGACACCCTGGGAGGAACAAAATCTTCATCTACTCAGTGCCTCACTGTTACTGGATTTCCGCCGACCCCCAGTCATTTGTTACGCTTTGTTTATCCTGATGCACTGAACTCTCTACAAGTCATTTGTTACATTTGTTTCTCTCCATGTACTGAATAAAAAGTGGGGCAAGCGGCAGGGCTTTCGTGTTTGCTGCCCAGAGCAGCACTGATCAGGCCCAAAGCTCAGCTTCTTCTCCAAGTCTCATTTTTTTCTACTTTTCCTGTATAAGTTAATTCATCTTGTGCTGCTATGGCCCACAGGAGACTAGGACTTACTGCAGAGGTTCTAGTAACGTTCCCTTTCCCTGTTCCTTACAATACTGTATTTGTATTATTCTCTTTATCATAATTGTTCAAAATATTTGGATTATCAATAAAATATTGCCTACACTGCTTATAAAAGTCCTGCAAAATATGGTTAAGAGCTACATTAAAGTTCCCTTTCCGCAGGGCTGGGGATTTAGCTCAGTGATACTGCCACCTGCCTCACAAGCACAAGGTCCTGAGTTCAATCCCTGGTACCATAAAAAAAAAAAAGAAAAAAAATTCCCCCACCCTAGTTTGCCTATTCATATTCTATAATTCATCCAAAATAGAGTATTCCTACAACTTATACAATCCTGTAGTTTTGGTCATCTGTTTCTACTAATTGATGTTTTTATCTACCTACTTCCTCATTTCAACTAACTAAACCCTTAACATGTTTTCAAAGCTTACTTTATATAAATCTCTGCTTCTTTGAGGCTAATCAATCCATTTCAATCATTGACTTATACTGGTGCTCTACTGACTTTGTTTCCATTTA